AACGGGGAGCGGAAAGGGTTGGGCTGTGGGGGGCTGGTGCCCCCTCCGGCGGCCACTGCCATGGTCTGTTCGTCCATCACACAGCCGTACTCGCTGCTCTCGGTGAAGAAGGCGGGCACTCGGAGGGACTGGGGTGGGGGCCGGGCCTCAGACACTCCGAGAGGCTCCTGCCCCCAGGGACCTCCCCAGGAGCAGGGCTAGTGGACTGGGTTGCACACTGAGGCCCCCCGAAAGGTCGGGATGGAGGAGAGGTGCGCGCAGACACAGGAGGGGCAAGAGGCAACCCTCCCCACCCCCCCTGTCAGTGGAACAGATGCTGGAGAAGTGGAGACTTTCAGGAGAGGAGGAGGGACTGGGCAGGAAGTGAGAGAAGTTCCCTTTTGCCCCTTTGCCCACCTGTAAGCGGGGCAGCGAGCTCAGCCAAGTATCTTTGAGACCAAAGCCCGAGTTAAATCCTGTGGATGGAGGGAGAGCAGGGAGAAGCTGGCTGCCATGTCTCCCTCCTCCCTCCTACGCACACTCCTACCCCGGGTTCTTACCAATAACCAAGTCGGGCTTGGGCCCCTGGAGCAGGTGGTAGGGCCGAGCAGACACTTTGATCTGCAGGTCCCTCCGGCCCCCCTTCTCCTTAGTTCCAGAGCTGAGCCGAGCTGACACCCCGGAACCAGGACGGACGGAGACTTCAGGGCCATCCTGAGGGGCCAGGAGTGGGGTACAGAAACCACTGGAAGTTAGGGTGCTGGAGGATGCATCAGGCAAGACCAAGGAAAGGGGAGGAGGGAGCAGAAGGGCGAGGCCGAATGAGGAAGACAGTAGGAGGGCCAGGGATGGAGAGCAGGGAACCCCTCAGCCCTCACCCTCTGCAGGGTAAAATGCTGCTGGTCACTCTCGGGGGGCAGGCCATCACCCACAAACTGTAGTTCCAGGGCCACATGGGGGAGCAAGACCAAGAGCTCCTAAAGGACAGAGAGGCAGATTGGGGTCCCACCCTGCATCCACTTTGCCACCCAAATGCCCAACCTTCAGGCCGGGAGGGACTTACCCAGAACACCATGACAAGGTCAAACTCCTTCCCAGCCTCCACCACGTGGATTTTCAGAGACTGTTTGTTCTGGATGTTGAGCTCGGGGACTGTGTGAGAAGCTGGCCATTTAAGGGTCTGGTCTCCCTCCTCTTCCCTCCTGTCCCCTACCAGCTCCCTGCTGCCCCGCTTGAAGCACTCCTCCCCCTCATCCGCGCTCCTTACAGGACTGGGGCACCAGGTGGGTGATGACGTAGTACACAGTCAGCGGGTAGGTGAGCAGCACAGCCATGGGGGAGTCCAAGCTGAGGCCCCGCCATGTGTAGTAATCCTGCCACGAGCCTGGGGAGAGTGGGTTACTGGGGGACCTGGCCCCAGGTCTGGACCCCAATGCCTCCCGTCTAATAGTCCCCCTTATCTCAGCCACCCAGACTGCTGGCTCTCCAGTCACTATCCCTGCCCCTAGTTCCTACAGGTCCCTGCAGCTCACCAAAGAGGCCCCTGGGTGGATCTGGGGGCACAGGAGGCATCAGGACAGGCCCGTCCCCCTGAAGAAGCTGGTAGGGATCTCCTGAAAGGAGGAGAGAAAGAGGAGGAGCCCAGTGTCAGGGAGACCCCCACCTGGCATGCCCCCCTCTCTCTTCCAAAGGAGCTGTATTACCTGAGGGAGGACCTGGGGGAGTTGGGGGAGGGGGTGACCTAGGGATGGTTTTGGGATGGGGATGGCAGCAGTGACTTAGAGGGTTGAGGAAGGGACTGAAATGGCCCTGGTCGTAGTGTAGGGTTTGGTGTGTATATAGAGAGGTTATCTGGGACCCAGACAACTGTATTCCCTCCCACCCTTTCTCCCTGAGAGGCCCGTGCCTGAGGAGAGGTCCACGCACCATTGAGAAGAAGGCTGAGGGAGGGTGTGCTGCCCCGGGGGTGCCTGGGGGTGCCAGGGCCTGGGATCAGCATGCTGATCTGGGTCCAGTAGCCACGAGTGAGGCCTCGTGAGGCCAGGAAGGCCTCCTTGTTGAAAGTTTCACTGGTCACCTCTGGAGGAGGGGGAGGAGAAGGTTGAGGGCCTGGTGGCTAGGACCCCCCAGACTTTAGCTCTCCTCAGCCTCTTCCAAGGACTCTGGGTCTGAGTCTGGTGCTAGTCAGGGAGAGAACTGACATTTCTGAGTGCCTACCGGGTAGCAGGCATCCAGCCGACAGAATTCCTATAACAATTCCTGGGAACATTTGTTAGTATCCCTATTTTACAGATGAGGAAACGAAGGTGCTAAGATAAAGAGTGATTTGCTTAAGGTCACCAGTTAGTGGTGGAGCTGGGAAGCAAGTATTTGAATCGCCAGTTCTAAGTCCCCTAAACTATTTCAGGGCCCTGGGTGCTGAGTCCTTAGTTCCAGAAACTGTCCTCAGCCTCAAGGTCTAGCCTTCTGTCCCAAATAGCCAGCATCCAGCCCTCGTTCCAGGGATCCAGGCTTAACCTCCAGGGCCCTGTTCCCAGACATCCAGGCCCCAGACACAAAGGCCTGGTCCCAGCTCTCCCGCCCCAGCCTGACCTCCCTATGGTACCTGCAGTGTAGGTGAAAGGCAGAGTTGCCAGTTCTCCTGTCCGCTCCATGAAGGCTGCAAGCCTCGGGCACCAAAATCTGTGGCTCACATCGTCTGGGCAGCGCCGCCAGTCGGCCCGGAGACAGGCCTCTCCACAATACAAGACAGCACTACACTGGGGGCTGGGGTCACAGGGAGCGGTGGGCACCCGGTGTTAAGCTCTGTAAGTCCTTTGTCTGCCATCTGTCTGCCCTGCAGCTGCCCAATCTCAGTCTGTTTGTCTGTATTCTCTCTGCCAGTAACAGCTTGTTTTCTTTCTTTTTAAAAAAATCCTCATCTGAGGATATTTTTCCATTGATTTTTAGAGAGAGTAAAAGGGAGGGGGAGAGACACACAGAGAGAGAAACATCGATGTGAGAGAGACACACCACCAGGGCCAGGGATCGAGCCTGCAACCGAGGTACATGCCCTTGACCGGGAATCAAACCCAGGACACTTCAGTCTATCGGCCGACACTCTATCCACTGAACCAAACTGTCTAGGGAAACAACTTGTTTTCTTCACCTGATTTCCTTGTCCCTCATGCTGGCTATATCAGCGGTTCTCAACCTGTGGGTCGCGACCCCTTTGGCGGTCGAACGACCCTTTCACAGGGGTCGCCTAAGACCATCCTGCATATCAGGTATTTACATTGTGATTCATAACAATAGCAACATGACAGTTATGAAGTAGCAACGAAAAGAATTTTATGGTTGGGTCACAACATGAGGAACTGTATTTAAAGGGCCAGAAGGTTGAGAACCACTGGTCTATAGGGTCCCCCACTGGCCTCTCTGTTTGCCTGACTGTTGGGGGTCTTCCTTCCTCTCCCTCCATCTTTGCAGGCTGCTCACCAGGGTGTCAGCTTCACTTCAAAGCTGTGCTTGTGACAAACATGGCAGGTTCGAGCCCGAAGGGAGGCAAAGGTGAAGCCTGGCTGGGGACCCCATGTCCGCATTGGGGTCTTGGCTAACTTCACTCCCAGCCTTGGGACCAGATTCTCCAGCTCTCTGAATAGGGGTGAATAGGGGCATCAGGCTGTGTGGTCCAGAAGTCCGGGCCCCCTAGGCCTCCCCACCCGCAGATACCAGATTTCTGTACCGGTGCAGCTGGGCATCTCCCACAGTAAGCTGTCGGGGCTTTCGAGGGTCTCCAGAGCCCATGGGGCAGGCCATGCTGTGGCAGAGGAGAGCATAGGCCCGAGGAGCCAGGTTCTCTGTCCATGAGCCCTTGCCTGCACTCCTCTGGGCTCCATCCATTAGCAGGTCAATGCCCAAGATGGTGCCATGTTCATCCGTCACCAGTAAGAGGCAGGCAAGGTGCAGGGGGGCAGCCTCTGGGGAAGAAAAGTCAGAGGTGGGGGGTAGCAAAGATGGTCGGGACCAGGGGTCTTAAACTCAAATGCCTACAGGGGGTAGGCAAGTAAACTGAGTGAGCAAAGGGAACCAGGTAGAGAGGATATGCCTTATCTTAAAGGGACAGCAGACACACAGTACCAGCATTTGCTGCCGTTCTTTACTTTTTCTTAAGAAGGTGTAACTCCACACTTCCCAGAGTTCTTTTTTTTTTTTAAACAATATTAAATGTTGGCTCAAATTAAAAAACAATGTGGGACGATAAAAACACCTTCTCAGGCCAGATTGGCCTGAAGCCACCCTTTTGTTTGTGACTCCTAGCTGGGTTCTGAGTGGTAAGAGGGCTTCAGGGGGGAGTATGTCTGCGCAGGGGATAGGGCAGGACCAGCCCTGGCTTCTTACCACTTCTTCGCCCCTTCCTCCTCTTAGGCCCAGTTTCGTCTTCTGCCCTCTCATCTTGACAGCCATTCTCGCCACTTCCTTCTTTCTGCTCGGCCTCCTCTGGCTGCCCTGGAAGATTTGCTTCCTGGGGGGACTCCCTGCTCGTATGGACTGGCTCCCCATCCTCCTCTGGTTCTACCTTCTCTGTGCCTGCACCCTCTTCCTCTCCATTTTCTTCCTCTTCCTCCTCTTCTTCTTCCTCCCCTTCCTCGCCTTCCTCCAAACTGACAAAGCTGACATAGGGGCTTAGGTCTCGAAGGTGGAGTGGGGGCTGATCTCCCAGCAGCCAGCCTGCCCCCAGGCCTGGTCCAGGCTCTGCCCCTTGCCCCAAGCTGATGCCCACACTACGGTTGGGCAAGACATGGAGCACCCAAAGGGCAGGGTCCTGGGGCAGCCTTCTGATCTGCGCCTCCAACTGTCGCCAGCGGCCCTCCAGGCTGGTCTCCACAGCCCCACGCTCTGCCACGAACTTTCGGAACCAGCCAAAGAGGAGGGCAGTGAAATCAAGGAACTCGTCTCGATATCCAGACACAAACTCCATGTCTTCAGGGGCACAGGGCCTGGGCGCAGACTAAGCCAGGGGGAAGGGGTTATACGGTGAGGGAAAGGCTGTGCTGAGAATTTGGGGCTGGGTCACACCATGGGAGATTGGGTTTAAGAGTCACGTAGGGTGAGGTCTGTAGGTGAGTGTTAGGATCTGAGAATGAAGCTTTCAAGGCCGAAGATGGGAATCCCGGGATGAGAACGGGAGCTAGACTTGAAAGTGGACCCTTCGGGTTAAAGACGTGCTCAGGCGTGAGATGGTATTTGGGGCTGAGAATGTGAGGCGCCAACCCTCAGAAGCAGGGTTTGGGCTGGGAACAGAGATGAGGGAGGGCTTAGCCTACGGGGAAGGGCTTGGCAAGGAGGGGAGAACTTGGGATCCGTCTGTGGGGTGTGGCAGGAGGGAGCAGGCGCAGGAGCATCCCTTCAGTTTGGATCGGGTTGCGGGGACCCCCGTAGACCTAGCCTCTTCTGGCCGTTCCGCTCCTCCGGTACCTGCAGCCGCCACCACTTTTCGAAGGTAAATACCTCGGGGTGGGGGCGGCGTGACGTCAGGGTTGGGGAGCCCGCGGCCCGCTCCTCGCGTCTGGGCGCCGTGTGTTCCGGGAGGCCCGCGGGCTTTCCTGTCCTCCTCACCCCGGACATGTGACTAAATCCCGCGGAGCCGGGGAAGTGAAAGCATCTTGGAGGCGGTGGCCGGTGAACCTCACTTGTGTCCCAGGTCCCCAGGGCCCACCTGGGCAGGCGAGCGGCGGCCGCGGCTGGCATTCCTCCTCCGCGTCGGGGCCGGTCCGCCGGTTGACACGCAGCCTCCTGCGCGCCTCGCTCCGCAGCCCACGCTCCCGGTTTCAGACATTCCCGGCCAACCCGTCCACGGAGCCTCCCGCCGAGTGCGTGGGCGCGGGCGGCGCAGCTCCGCCTCCGGGAATTTCCCACCCGCGGGAGTGCGGGCCCTAGGCCGGGGTCGCGCGCCCACGCCTCGGTCGCTCCTAGGACCTCGGGTGCAGCCGGTGAAGGAAGTGAGAGCCTCAGAGGAACCTGCCGAACGACCGTCACTCACCGGAGCCTGTCGGGGAGCCAGCCTGGTCCCCGCGGCCCCGAGATGAGGAGCGGCTGGGGACCCTGGTCCTTCGCGCTCCGCCTCCTCCTGCTAGCGCAGCTGGCTGTGCCAGGTACGTGGGGCCGGGCTGGGACCCAGATCCCCGAATCTGGGAGGGGATGGTTGTGTGTGTGTGTATGTGCGTGTTGTGTGTCGGGGGGAGACACTAGGGCCGCGGGATTGAGTTGAGTAAGTGGGGAGCCAGGCGTGCCGGAATCCCCAGGGCAGCCAGGGCAGGGGGAGGGCCAGCTGCCTGGAGTTGGGCGTCAGGCTGCGGGACACCTGGATACAGGTGATATTATGAACATCTTTAAAATATATATTTTTTTGATTTCAAAGAGGGAGAGAAAGAGAGAGAGAAACATCAATGATGAGAGAGAATGAATTGGCCGCCTCTTGCACACCCTCTACTGAGGATCCAGCGCAACCGGGGTGTGTGCCCTTGACCCGAATGGAACCCGGCCTCTTCAGCCCGCAGGCCGAATAAACCGGCTGGGGCAGGAACAGTCTTTAGGGGTGTGATGTGGGGTTGAGCATGGCGATCAGGCCGGGGCATAGGGGAGAGGCTGCAGTGGGGCAGTGGGTTGGAGGGTGAGTGACAAGCTGGTGGCGCACCTTGCCTGGGAACCTGTGCTTGACCTCCTCTGTCCCACTCAGGCGATGGCAATGAGGGCAGCAGAGCTGGAAGCTGTCATTGTGATAAAAGTTTTTCTTCTGACTCTCCAACGTTTAAAGAAATAGAACGTTTCCAAAAACTACTGAAAGACTATAATCGCTGTTCTCACTATGTCAGGTAATCCCACCCACCCCTGAGAAGGAAGGCAGCGCCTGCGTAATCTCTCCTTGCCAGATGCCTCCAGGACCCTCTCTGGTCAAACTTGAACTCCTTCTGGGAGCACCTAACCCTTCTCTGGGTTGTTTGCCTTAATTCTCCACACTTTCATTTTCCTGTTGCACCTTCCTGGGAAATTCCCTTCAGCAGAAACAGGTTGTTCGGGAGGTGACTTCATGTCTTTGGAATGAGGAAAGAGGTGGGGGTTGGGGTGGGGCGTTCCTGAAGCTAAAACCAGGTTGTTCCTCCGAAGGTTCCAACTAAAGTACCAAGGACAGTCCAGGAGTGTATGTGGGGGCAGCAAGGACCAGTGGGTGAATGAATTGATCAGCTGCTTTGATCTGAGCGGTGAGTGCTTTCCCCCTCCTCTCCAGGCTCTGTCTCCAGGGCTCAGCGCCTCCACCTTGTAATTTCCTTCGCCTCAGACCTTTCCCCTGTGAGTCCTCACATTCCTATTCTGATGCTGGCCAAAGTACTTTCACCATGTCCCTGTTCACCAAACATCATTCCCTACCACTTTCATGATTTTTTGCCAGTTCACCCTGTGCTATTATTTACTTAATATTTTCCTTGAAATCAGGACACTATTTTTGTTTTCCATTCTTTTATGGAAATTTAAAGACATACAGTATACAAAAAAATTGAAAGAATTGTAAACACCCATATACCCACCACCTAGATCAGTGATGGCGAACCTATGACATGCATGTCAGAGGTGTCATGTGAACTCATTGTTTCGGTTCATTTTTCTTTGTTAAATGGCATTTAAATATATAAAATAAATATCAAAAATATAAGTCTTTGTTTTACTATGGCT